AACCCCCCCCCCTGCCACTGGCACGCGGCAGCGTCGTCAGTCTCAGGCTGGAGCGTGTGCTGGCGCGTAGAGCGAGCAGCCGGCATCGGGGGAACATCAGCCGGCACAGCAGCAGCAGCTCTCCGCGGCCAGGGCCGGTCGCGCCGCGTCCCGCTCCCACCCGGGACAAACACCAGCCGGCGCGTGGCAGGGAAGAGCCGCAGCGTTAACTGCGGCGTCTGCGTCTCTGGACAGCAGGCTGCATGGCGGGGAGCGCAGCGCGAGATGGACGAGTCTGTCCTGGATGTTTTTCAAGTGGAGATTAACCACCGAGTCGGTTCTTTTTATTTAAGGTGCCATATGTCTCTTCCCTCTAAATATCTCTTCCATCAGATACCGCTGTGATTCCCAGTCTGCCTTCGAGACACTATTGCAAACGCTTCCTAAAACTGCCTTAGATGGGAGACGGGAAAAGCTTTGACGGCTCCTTCTGTCCGTCGCCCCACGTACGTCACACCCGAACGCACCCGCAGCTGCTCCTTCCACACTCGCCCGGGGCCTGGGAGCCGCAGCGTGAGCAGGGGCTCCGCACGCCTCTGGGAGGTGGGTGCCATTTCGGGGCTCAGGGCAGAGCACTGGTTTGACTCCAGTGACTCATTTGATTACGCTGCAAATTCTCTCCTCCGCCTGTGAAACGGGGATAGCAACGCTATCCTTTTCCCCTGCTGTGAGCTCCAATATATCAAGGATTGTGAGGCACTTAATACTATGTAAATGGGAGACGTATCAGCTGTGCCTCAGATAAATGAATTTCACCGAGATTGATGGGTGTGAAGCACTTCCAAAATTAGGCCTATTCTTCTTAAATCAAACAGTTTCCCCAAGCCAGTTCAGCTCCATTGATGTAGAGGAAGTCATCAAGTTGCGATTCATCATCGGGTTCAATCCAAGACCTTCAATACACTGACCCGCCGCGTGCCTCCTCCTCCTCGCTGAGGGAGGCGGAGTTTGGCCCGGCGCTCGAGGAGCGGGACCCGTCGGCTCTGCGCACGAGGCACCCACGCCTCGCTCTGCAAACCCACGACACGCTCCTGCTGGGACTCAAACCACCTCAGGTGTCTTACACGGCGCTTGGAGCATCACCTGGGTGTTCGGGGTCATCTTCACGGGGTTTACATATCAGCGGATTTGAACTACAAACCAGTGCGGTCCCCACATTTTGTCTGGTCGTCCTCGCCGTCGTAGCTGAATCGGAATCAAATCAAACGTCTCTGAAACCGCTGCCTGGCTCCCGCGGGTCTCGGCACCTCTCCCGCAACCTCCACGGCAGGACTGGTGCCGTTTCCGGGGATTAGGGCTGGAAAAGCAGCGCACCGCAACCCCAGTGCTTGCTCCGATGCTTACGCTGAACTGTATTTATGCCGTTAAATGCTCTATAACGTACAGATAATATCATAAACCCCGTTTCATTCGGTTAGCGAACAGTAAATCCCTCTCGCGCGCGGCAGCATCGCCACCAAACCGCAGCTAGCCGAGTAATGCTGTAGTAAACCCCCCCGCTCCTCGCTACAGCTCCGCGTTCCCCCGCATGAGGCGGCCGCCGCCGTCCCGAGCCCCGGGGGCTGCTGCCGGGGAGAGGGGTGTAGGCAGCCCGCTCCCCGCCGCGGCTGGAACCTCTCCCCTCCGCCAAACCCAGGCATCTCCCGGCTCCAAGTATCCGTCTGGTGTTTACGTGTGGAGGAGCTCAGCTCTCTCCAACTTTTTAACTGCAGATAATCAACAGAGCTGGGCAAATAATTCAGCGCATATAATTTATTCTATGAATTTTGATGCTTTGCCCACAAGCAGCTTGTGCTTCTCACAAAGGTGTCGGTCCTGTGAAATTATGCAGGGGAACTGCTGCCTTGGCCTGGAGCTGGTTCAGCCGGCTGGCAGCGAGCGGCTGACACCCCGAGCATCACAACGCTCGGGATTAGGTGCCTCGCTCACATGGGATTTCTCCTGCTGACAGCCTGGGAGAAATCTCACCACGGAGGGCATCGCCTGATAATGGAAACCCCACCCGCAATCCGAGCACAGCCCCCCTGCGGCAAATCAAGCGTCGCCAAGGGTGGGTACAACAAGCAGTTAGCTGAGTAATCATCGAAACGTCGTCACATCATCCGTACGTTTGTATCAAACTGCCCCACACTGTCACTAAAGGAGACTACATACACCCAGGAGCAGCAGGGAGCACAGCTGTGCGGGTTTGCCCCACTGCCAGAGGAAGGAGAGGATGCCGCAGCGCCCGGAATTCCAACACCGGAGCTGTGAACTACGCTGCAGCCACCTTGGGCCGTTCCCGCCACGTGGCTCGTGTCCTTCCAGCCGCTCCCTGTGCCACACTCCTCTCCAGCGCTCCCGGGACAAGGTGCTCACGCGTCCGGTGTCACACACGGGCCCATGGTGCGCGGCGGCGATGGGCGAGCAGCTGTCGCTGTCCCGGGCGCCGGCCGCAGCCCCGGTGCCGCTCCCACCCTCAGCTCCGACCGCGACGGCGTTCGGCAGCATCTCCCTGTGAGAGGCGTCGGAATAGCTGATGCAACTTTTCATTAACAGCTCTCCCAAGGTGGGAGGGAACGTGTTTGTAAAAGGAACGCTGCCCCGACGTGTGACTGTAAATCATCCTGCAGGCTCTGTGGCAATACCCCGATTGCTGCGCCGCCAGCGGCAGGGCGTTCAGGCGGCCGTCACTCCGCCGATGCCCTCCATCCCCTTCCTTTGCCTTCTAAACGCTGGGCTCTTGTCTGCAGGAAGAGCTACAGCCCTTCAAGTTCAATGTGCCTGCCAAGAAAAACGTTGATTTTTTTCCTCCGCCTACCTTCAGATATCTGATTAATTCAATGCAAGGAGGAAGGAATTTTTTTTTTTTTTTTTTTTTTTTTTTAAGCTGAATACAGAAACATTGATGTAGAAAAATACCGTAGCTGTTAGAGCTGTCTTGTGACCAAGGCAGCCTTAAAATGCGTTTTAGCCTGACTTGGCACGTTAGCTTTTAGGAGCTAAATGAAGAAGTGAACTAATCCCAGGTCTTAATGAATAATGTTCAAATCCAACTTTCATTTTCAAATGCAGCCATACAGCCGAGAATGAGTCACAAGGTGTTTGTTGTGCGGTGGAAGAATAGACAAGCTGGGAAGGGTATTTTTATGTGTTTGTGAATCATTGTAGATGATATTTTCCTCCACTGTGCCGCTCTGTCCTAGCAGTTTTCTGCAGTGAAATCCATTCAGCTGTACTGGAAATGTAGGCACTTTATAGAAAATCTTTAATAGCGCCAGCACAAATGGATGGCTCTTATTTCCTCTCCGCAAAGTGGTGATTTGCAAAACCGCTGCTAACAAATATTTACCCTCCTCCCCCAAGCCATTAAATAAAGACCGATGGAGACGCGTCCCGGCTGGGCAGAGCGGCCGGTGGCAGCGTCCGGCGCGGGCCCCGCGGCCGCCTGGGCACGGCGCACACCGCGGCTCTCCGCAGCCAGACGCTCACATGCACGCGGCAGGCGCGGGGTGTCGTGGGGTGCCCGACCCCAGAGCTCCTGAGCGGCCCAGGTCCGTATGGAGACACGCTGGCTGAAGCACGGGGACACGGGGCTGCACCGGGGCGCACGTGGGAGGGACGGGGAGCCGCACGG